GAATTCTGGGAGTTGAAGTCCACACATCTTCAAGTGGCCAAAGTTGAGAAACACTGCTCTATAGTTTTATTTAGGTCAGAACGATAATTTTCCAAGGGCCCTTTACAAATCACCAGTGACAAGTCTATGAGCTGACTTTTGTAGGAGTGTGCAAGTTTGGAGATGTCTTTTGGAAGCAATCAAGCTGCTCCAACCACAAGCCTTCCTGGGTTGATTAGAATTGGTGGCAGTTCTCCATATCTTGGTAACTCCACTTGACTACTGCAGTGCACTTTATGTGGGACTACCCTTGAACACTGTTCAGAAATCACAATTGGTGCAAAAGTGGAACGCAGTGCAAGATAAAGAGATCACAGAACCCTAGAATTGGAGGTCTCCCAGTCCAACCCCCTGCCCCGTGCAGAAATCCTCAGGTAATCCAGGAGAAATGGCTGTTTAACATTTTCTTGCTCATAAAAAGCCACTACTGGAGTATCTGCACTGGCTACCAGTTACTACTGGGTTCAGTTTAAGAGCTGGGGTTGACCTTAAAACCCACAAATGAGAGGGCCTAATTATGTGGGGATCAGCAGTAAAGAGGTCCCTCCAGACAAGCCTCTGCTGCCAGAATCTCAACACAAACAGCTTTTTGTTTGCTTCAATTTTGTTTATATTTTTTTATTATGGTAGTGTACCTTGAAAGTTAGAAGGAACAGAAAGAAAAATCTCTGAATCTACTTTCTGAACTGGCCTGAATTGCCCAGTCGAGCCCCAAACTGGAAAAAGATGGCGAGGCTTTGCATATGCCTACCCACCCAGCCAGCCAGAAATTAATTCTGAAAATTTAATTGACACAATATGCTCTAAATTGACTTGATTTTCCAAATCATTTCACACCAACAAATCATCGGAGCGATGATCTGAACTGAACCAATTATTTAGAGCTAAACAAATCCACAGCTCCTATTGGCTTGCACATCACTTTTAAATATGTTTACTTTAATTACGAGTTGTTAAATATACCAAAATGGCTAGGTTTGCAGAACATACAGTACTGTACTAAGTTAAAGCAAAGCACATTTCCTATTGTTAGCAGTGAAATGAAACCAAGGACTGTACTGGATGGGAGCAGTGACAGGTCAAAATATTTTGAGCGCTACCCGCGCCCATGGAATTTAATTTCCTTTTTAAAGACTGTTGACTGGCTTACTTTCACGTTCCCTCTGTCAACATGCCACAAAACCACGTACCTCGTTTGAGTAATTTTGGTCAAAGGGGACTTCCTGGGTCAGAGAAAGGAGGGTGGAGCTTGCAGAGCTAGCTCAATGGGGAAATTTCCTCCACAAATTAAGCCTGCCCTCTCCAGTTCCCATCTAAAGTTATACATTAGGATGGCAGAATTGAATGGGCCTGATAGGTCACACAGAGAGAACTTTGTAGAGGTAATTTTGTGATTGCTCCACAGGACAGAAATGTCGAATCTCTAAAGTGAACGTTGCTGCTCTGCAGATTTCTAGGAAGGGTGTGGGGAACTTGTCCTGTCTTATTTCTCTACAGCCATCATCTGGGTATTGATACTGATATTATATTCTTCAGCCTGTGCTTTGCTTCCACAGACCAGTTTTGAAAAGGGTCACACGTCTCCTAAAAGTGAGACAGAGCAGGGTTCTGGGGGTATGTCAGGCTGAGGGGTTGGAAATGACAATGCACAAAAAAAGTCCACATATTTAGCAGCATAGTAGAAAGCATGAGTTTCATCACTTCTAAGCTGCCAGGAGAAATCACCTACGTAATTACTCTTGTGTGGTCTTAACTGATTCATGCAGACAATTCTAGTATTTCCATACATTTGCCCAAAGAATGTCCAAAAAGCAAATCCTCCAACCCATATGAGGGAACCCACTGCAAATCCCAAACAAGCCTACCCTACTGATAGGACACCTAACCATCAGTTCAGGTCAAAGTTTATTTCAAAGACCAGCAGAGAGCAAAACAATTAACAAACTGAATTAACCACCATCTTCTCTTTTCCTCCAATCCTGATAGACCTGCCCTGCAGAGCATGAATTGATGGAAGGCTAGCTATTTGACTAACAGAAAGACAGAGAGAAAACAGTATAGGCTTCTTCTCAGCATGCTCACCCAGTGGTTTAAATTTACACAACCATGTATCTCTAGCAAGAGAGGACTTCATCTGAAAAAGAAGCCTGGACTTTGCTCCACAAAGGACAGTCAGAAGATCCTGCCACCCTTAAATCTTATTCATGTGTACTTATTACTGCCCTCTTTTCTTGGAGCAAGACATCTAGGAGAGCATTCACTAACAACCAAGCCAGGTTTTGAGCCCTTCTATCATTAAGCTAGAGGCTGCCTACCCCACTACCAGCCTCTCCTATCCTCTTCTTTCCCCAGCTTAATGAAGAAGGGAAAAGGTGTGAATTGGCTGTAGCCTGAATGCTAAAGGGGGAGGGGAGAAATGAAAGAACATCACACTTGCTAAGTAGGTATTATTTATTAAGGCTTGTATTCTCCTAGAGGAAAAAGTTAATCTGATGCTGTTCCATTACTCCTTACATCAGAAGTAACAGACAAAGCTATATGTTCTAAATACAAGTCTAAATGATACAGCTTAAACTTTCATTTAAATTGGAGGTCCTCTTGCGTAAATATTGTTTTTCAGAAGACATCTGCTTTCTAATATAAGTAAAAGATCCTCTACGATTAAACACGTGCAGATTCAATGTGCTAGAGCAACAGGCATGAGCACCAAGAATTCATGCTAAATTTTGAAACTCCGGTTGGTGGCCAGTTCTTCGACAGCTTCCTCATTCCACAAAAACATGACAGAAAATTCATTTCTTAAAACAGTTGTTTTTACTCATCCAACAGAAAAAATAGGCACACACACACAATCAATTTTAAACATCTGAAGCATAATCCATCATATGAGTCTGAACTAAGATTCTAGATTAAAGCTCACCATTATTAGTATAAAATCTTAAGTGACATCCTCAAGGGGGTGAGTGAAAAAAAGGGGCAGATTAAAAGTAATGTATTTAATAATATTAAAAAGCAGGGGGGAAATTAAAAGCCACGTTACCCAAGCCCCTGCAATGTTGAACACATATTTAAATGATTAAAAGCTACAGATAAAGCAAAAAATTATGGTAGGAAACTTCTCAGCTTTTTCTCGCAGGATATGATACAAAGCAGATGTTCACTAATGTTCACCAAATATAGACAAAATAATTTAAGACGTAAAGTACAATCCATGAGGAATATTTCTCATGCAATATCCACAAAAAATAACTGCAAATGATGAAAATGTACAATTGTGTTTGTGTTAAGTCCCATTTATACTTCTTTCATGCGAAATTACCCCGGTGAATTATGCCTTTTTGATTTTCTGTAAGGCAGAAGTATACTTTAAATATTTTTCAAAAATAATGAAAAGAACAGATAAAAACTGAACTTCATAAAATAACCTGAGCTTGCTGTATTAATGTCAACATTTTTGACACAGGTTATTTCTCCAAGCAAAATTACAAAACAAACTGATATATTTCTGTTTCTACTTGCCATAAGAATCAAAACAATTGTGGGGATGGTGAGACAAGAGGATATGTAGTACATAAATATAAAAACAATGACTTTTCAGATTAGAAACATAATTTGTGCTGCAATTAAAAGTCTTTGGAAAAGGCTAATATTTTCAAAATCTTCAATTGTAGATGAACTTGTTTAACCAACTTAAAAAAAATAAAAAACAAGAAACATCTTTATTAATGGATTCTACAGCATTTTACATAGAAAAGATACAACTTAATGCATATTCAGCTGGGCAAAGAAAAACAAAACAAAAACCAACCCTCCACTACAGTGTATTTAAAAGATGCAAGATTTGAATTTCCCCTGCAAAAAAGAGATATTGGAGCTGAAAGCTTTATAGTCTCCTGATGCCAGAATACACAGCACCAGAGCATTTTTTAAAAAAGATTCAATTTTCATAATCAAATTTAATATCAGTTCTAGTGTGTGTGTGTGTGTGTATATATATATATATATATGTATATATAGCAAACCATATATGCTTATTCTTATTGTTTATTTTGATTCTGACGTTCCTGCAAAGAGAAAAACAGGAAATTAGAATGTGAAAACTCACAAAAACTCTTTACCTGTCCTAATTTTTTTAAAAGCCACACTACCCTAAAACATTGGGGCACGCAGTTCCTTAAAATTTCAATTTTGTTGCATGTACACTGTGGCTTGCCTATGGTGTAGCAATATTTACTTATAATAAAATACAACTAGGAAACTGCCCTCATGCCATGCACATTTTAAATATATCACAACATAGCTTTCTGTGATACTAACTTTAACTCCTAAAGCTAAACTAGGATACCTAAAGGCAGTGTTTTCTGTAAAATCAGGAGATTCTCCAAGTACAAAGAAGTACATTTCTTTGCAAATTACAAGTTACACCTTAAAACCAGGCTTAAGGGTGTATGCTTTGAAGTTTCTAGAACTCTGTAACTATTGATGGAAAGTGATCTGTGGAACATTTAACTTTCTCTCTGCTGGGGGGTGGGGGCAGGGTGTCAACTGTTTTCAGGAAAGTTCACAGCATTCCAGAAAATAGATGAGATATTAATGGATTATATAATGTGGCAAAGTTTCAAGAAAGTGTATAAAGGACTTCAATGACTTTAATCTTCAATGTCACCATTTTTTTTACCAGAAAGTACTTAGTTTCAGCACAGTCCCAGAAGCTTGTTACTTGAAAGGGCAGAAAAGCATGGTTTGAGACTTTTCTCTGTGAAAACTCTCTGAATCACAATGCTAAAAATGGTGGCTCCAATTCTAGGATGTCCTGAGCAAGTGATGACTTCTGGTCCACAAGATGTTACAGCATCTACTATTTCCCATTCGACACCCACTCATTCCCATTACGTTCATGTTTTCAAAGGGTTCACATTAATAATAATTTGGCTGCTCAGCTCCATTTCTTAACGTTTTGCCTAAAACCTTTGGTAGCCAAAGTCCTTTGGCTGATCAGCAGGATAAAACAGTATCCTAGGCAAGTTAAACCAAGCAAACATGTTGAAGGGCACTTTGGACCAGCATGTCTCCAAAGATAGCCTCAGCCATTTGCAGGTGCAGCATCACTTCTGAAACTGAATGAGATCTTAAAAACATGGAAATACAGTACTGGAAACATGTAATCTTCCAAGTTTGCTCAGGCTGCTGATCGTTCTTTAGAAACAGACTACTACAGCCACATACTTTAACTGCCTAAGACATGCCTGCGCTAAAAAAAGACTTCATGGACCCTTTTATGTTACAATAACAACTCCAAAGCCACAATCCATGGTAGTCTTTTAAGGTGAAAGAAGCAAGAAATGCTGTACAGAAAGCAAGGGTTTTTTTGCACCAAGAAACCGTTTTTTCCTGTATGTATCAGTTATATGCATTAAAGTATCAGCCTAAACCTAATTACTGTGTTATGTCCTGTAAATTATTCGCAAGGATTTGATATTGGTGTATCTAAAAGAACATTTTTTTCTAAAAGAAAACCTATTAATAAAATAATGCAATTTAAATACAATAACCTTTTATGCCTTTATTGCAACACAAGGTAAGATCATTTTGTTCTGTGCTTCAGTGTAAACAATAAGTAGCAATTAAATTTAAGCTGGTGTGAGCACGCTAAAATTCTACAAACAACAATTCAGTTGAGGACATTATCTTCTGCTCCCAAGGGAATTGTAAAGTAAAGGTATTACCAGAAATTTCAGGTAATTCAATTAAGCTTACAAAAAGGACAGGAACACTGCAGCCTTACATTATTCCTGGGCAGAACCACATCCCCATCAGGTTTCTAGACTGATCCGGAGCTCACAGACTAGTAAGTCACCTTCCAATTGAACACTACTCCTGATAACTTATAGAGTCATATTCCTGCCATTTTCTCAGGGTGATATGAAACTAGTTTGCTATTGCTTTTTATCTTTATTTTCCAGTCAGCTTGCATCCCCAACTTTCCAGTTGCAATCCCCTATTCAAATACTAACCTAAATCAGCCAGTTGATTAGATGCTGAAATCTAGCTGGGTAACTTGTAGACTAAAGAGATCTTAAAACCAGTAACTATAAGCCTGGCACAGTTGAACACCTGCAGTTGAGATACAATCTTGTCCAGTGGAACAAATATGGTAACAGCAGCTGACACAAAGAAATTCATCTAGCATCTGGCTCTATGGCTAATATAAATGTACAGAAACTTTCCCCAGGCCTCCCTTTTAACAATGAACTCGATGTCACAATAATTCTATTTTATTCACACCACTGACTCTTGTGCTTATCTTACTCTCCATTTTTATTTTATTTGTGGTTCCTGTAAACTCATGAGCAGTTCTACCAAAACCTTATTTTGCAGTATTTTGGAGAAACTAATTTAAACAGGCTGTGCTTCTATTTTGTGCTATGGCTGCGTTATTAATGTCCTTAAGAGATATTTGCTGAATCCCATTTACAGGTCAACCTTTCTTTTTTTCTGGTCTTTATAGCATTTTCCTTTAAAAACCTCATGGTTCTTTTGGTTCTGGTTTAAACCAATCATTGTCTAAATGCTTTAAGGATGCACTTCCATACTGTATTAATAATTTTACAATAAATTCATTTTACACAAATATTAAAATAGCTCACATAATTGAGGTGTACTAATCTTTTTTTTTTCTAAATATGAGTGGGGTGCAAAATTTCAAATTCAAAATACTTCATTACAAGTTTGTGTTTGAAACAGGCTTTCTCTATAACTCTGAAAGCATTATAAGTTTGAAACACTTAAAAAATGGTTGAAATAGGCCATTTTGAACATTAAATAATTGTTTTTAGACAACATGTGGCATTTTGGATTTGAAAGATTTTGCATGCCTGTACTAAATAGATACCAACATCCAATTTGTGTAAAAGGCTCTTTCGTTTCCACATGGATACCTTTTAAGCTCTTTCTTCAACCAGCAGCCAGAATATCCCACATAAGGAACAAAAAGCTGCCAATCATTGCACCCCTCTGTAAAGTAGAAGCACATCTTGCTCGTGCATGGATGAGTGATTTGTATTTCACTTATTTTCCAAGCCCTGTAACAGCCTACATCCATTACAGCACTGAAACTAAGCCGTATTTAACAATGCAGACACATCTCAACTTTTTGGCCTGTTACAATAAAGCAGGTTAAAAAGCTTTAGGGTTGAAAGCCTGTGTGTTAAATCTGAAGACTGCACAATATCTATGAACCAGTTAGGTTTTTTAAAAGTCCCTTTCAAACACTCAACTCCCATTCACCTCCAGTGTTGCTTTCCCCAAATTGAATAAAATGTTCTAAAGCCAGTTTACCTTTCGTACCACCTCTTCCTCCTCCTGGCGCTTTTCATAATGGGAAAAGTCATCAAAGATGGAGGTTGTGTGCTTGTACATAGCAATAATTTTAAGCACTTGCTTTGCTTTTTCTAAGGGCACCTCCTGAGTGTCACGGGAGTTTGTAACTGGCTTGTTGTCATTGTTCTCCAGCCTGATGTGTCGAAGCTGGTTGTTGGGAACATCTTTCACAAAGATCCACTTGACATCAAACTTCCCCTTCCATTTGTCCTGGGACCAGACACCAGCACTGGTGCCATAGTCCACTGACGATTTCATTTCTGCCACACCACAAAAATGTCCGCTGCCGTTGACACTGAAGAGTAAATAGACCGGGCCTTTACTATTCATAGAGCGGAAAGCACTGTCCAAACGTTTGTTGCCATGTTCTGTGCTACACCAAATGGAGTATTTGATGGAACGATGAATATCATCCTCAGAATAACTCTTTATTATGAACACACGCCCATTTTTAAGGTTCCATTCAAAATCCTTAGGGTTGTAACTGTGCGCAGCTTTCAGTTTTTCAAGAACAGGGTGGGATTCACCACCAGGGATGGTGTTTGCCGGGGTATTCCCAGGTGAATTGCTTTCATTACTTGTTCCTACACTTTGGCCAAAAGCTGCGTTTCGGTTGCGAGGGGCCACCCATCTGTTCTGAGGTGGCGGTGGCTGAGGGTTCTGGTAGGGCAGCTGTGTCAATGGGGGCGGCTGGGCAGGAATAGGCTGGATAATTTGTGGCGGTGGGATTGACTGAGGAGAAGGGATCTGCTGAGGAGCTGGAATTTTGGCCACAGGGCCCTTATTGTCCCAAGTACCTATGTCCATGTTATGCTTAATTGGCGGCGGAGGCAGAGCCCCTCCTATTACAGGCCCACTTTTTGCTTTCATTTTGGGCTGAGGTTTTGCAGGTTTGCTAGCAATAGCAGCCCAAGATGTTGGCTTAGATACTGGCAAGTTTAGGTTGGATCCGCCGTTGCCAGACAACGCACCTGCCATCCCAGCGCTGTTTACCACAGAGCCTACTGTTTTCACAGCAGAAGTTGTGACATCCCCACCAATCTTCAGTCCAACCATTCCCTGCTCAATACTATTCATTCCAGGTGCTTTATTCAAGGTATCATTATGAAATCCTGTTTGCCCATCCACAATAGTACCACCAAGGGAGCTGGGTGGATAGCTGTAGCTGCTTCCGTAAGCTGAGTTCTGGGTCTGCTGCCCTTGAGATCCACTTGTTCCCCATGCTGAGAAAGGTGGGTTTTCAGGGAAAAAATTAAACCTGTGTGGATAAATGTTGTTCCCCAATCCACCAGGCTGTCCAAACACAGCATCATGCATGAAGTGGTGATCACCGTTACTCAGCTGTCCATAGGTTGTAAGATATGGGATAGGAGGGTCTCCTCCAGTTGACCAGGGTGCTTCACTCAGAGAGTAGGGAAAGCTAATAGAAGGTGGATAATAACTGGACAAGTAGGGATCGGTCATTGATGGATAGCTGTTGCTCTGTTAAATGACAAAACAGCAATTTCAGATTCAGTTGTTTACAACATTATTTAAACTAGAAAAAATATTCAGGAAAGTTCAAATCCACAGTACTGCATAAAAAACTGTAAATGTCTTAATCCTGAAAATGTTTTCTTGCTTCTTAACTGTTTCCATCTCTCAAAATTAAGGCAGGCTAATTCTTAATTCATTCACATGGTTTCCCACTGACTGCTTCAAGGATTAATCGCAAGAAACAGAGCAATTTGAGTAGACATGTTTTGTTTTAAAATCTGCAGTTTGGATAAGTGAGAGGTTATTTTTAAATTTGTTTCACAGTATACTAATATTATAATACTAGAATTAATCTGACTGCTTTTAAAATGTCCTCAAACAATATAACATTATGCAGTTATATTAAACCTCAGTAAAATCAAATGTTTGTAGATTCTTTGACTAAAGCATGTACTGTTTTAAAACAAATGGATTCCTCTGTGCAAATTATATATTTTAAAAGACCTGAAGTTTAAATGCACACTCCAGAGAGTGTTCTCATTTACCCCAATTGATTAAGCCATATCATAAAAGTTCCACATTTGATTCATTACTGTCACAAACATGTTCCTCGTTTTCCCATAACCATATGAAGTCTGGCCTTTTAAAATCATTCCTACTGTTTGTTTCATGTTCTATTTACCCACATAATCATTAATTTCCTTTACATTCCACACCTATCTTGATTCAACTTTACTATTTTAAATTATATTGCCTGTCCATTTTGCTAGCTATTCTTGAGAACACCCTTCCACTCAGTGATTCCAGTTCACCTCTGGCCTGATCCAGCAGCATCATTCTTTTCCCTCAATATTTTATGCAAATCTACCTTCTCTAATTTCTTTTCATACAACATTGGCTCCTCATGTTCTGTCAATGCTCATCAAACTTTCACATTCTTTTTAAACTTTTCACCACATGAATCAGAAATCTTCATACTAAGTGCCATTTTCACTTAATCTCTCTTAAAGCTTATCTCTTCTGGTTAGCTTTTTCTACAGCTTGAACTGCTCCCCAGTACAATGCCCTTGTATGACTCCATATATGCTTAGAGGATCAGCCCTAACCTTCAAGGTAGATGGAATGGGAAATTCATTCTGTTACTGGATGCTGCTCTATCACGTTAGTTTTTCACAAGACTAGCATACCTTTTGAATTGGCATACACACTCAAATCTTCCAAAATTATTTGAGTAATATTAACCCATCCTCTGAAACTAAAGTGCATTGTAGTCAATTGTTGACTACAGCAAATATAAAAGCCAACCATAAGACAAGATACACAGGGGGAAAAAAGGGAGTTCTTATCAATGAGATCCCATCAGATCCAGCAGAATAGGTATGCTGCGGATCCTGCCCACCAAAGAGCTACATATGGAGGGACTCAGGAAAATGGGCCTTTTCTGCCGTAATATCTGCCTTATGGAACGTCATCCCCCCCACCCCCTGAAGGGAGGTTGGCTCCATCCCTGCTGAATTTCCCTCAAAACTTGGTTATGCCACCAGGCTTGGGGGCTTGAAGGGACTGGTGAGTTGCTGAGGTGGCTCCATTGCTGTTAATATCTGCTGCTCTCTTTTTGCCTTTTAATAACAATTTTTAATTCTCTGGACTGCTTTTTATATCACTGTTTTATGGTTTTTATTATACGCTGCCCAGAGTCACGTTTTTTGTGAGATGGGTGGTCATAAAAATATGATGAATAAATAAATAAAATTTGAAATAGGAAAACCTAAAGATGGATTACAGGACAGAAGGATACTTCTCTATAATAATACATAACTTTAATAAAAATTGGAAATATCTACTTAATTCCAATTTCAGCCCCTCAGTTTACAAATTTTCTAGAATATTAAAATTTTCAACTTTAACCAACAGGAAAAATAGTTTTACTCTGGAAACAGGTACAAAGAAGCCATAACATTCAGAGCCAATATGGATTTATTTAAGCCAGTAATTATTTGTTTATTTGAAATTCAAAGAGAATAATATGCCATTTGATTCTCCCTGTCTATGCTAGAAAAGTTTTCCTTTTAAACAAAATTACATTGCTTCCAATTGATTCATGCTCAAAATCCCTTTTAAAAAGTCAAAACACTTTTCAGGCATACAGACTAACCTGATTTGACTGTCCAGAAAGATAAGGCTCAAAATCATTGTCATGAACTGTATCCTTCTGATGAAGAGAACCATTTTGCACTGAAACAAAAGAGCTGCAATTATAACAACGCACATTTTGAAGTTTAAATAAAGAACTGTTTCCTAAAGCACGACAGTACACATAAATAAAACTGCATTTATCCCATAGCATTATCTATTTAGAGAAGGGAAAGAGGTCAGATTTCAACATGATGAAAAACCCTTCCACAAGCCCTCAAGATACCATTGTTCCTTATAAAACTGATCTGAATGGCAGTTACTGAATACCTTGCAAGCAGGTTTTTCAACTACCAGCAACACAATTTTGTTAAGATCAAGAGTAAGATTCATATAATGAACTAAAATATATTTGTCCTGGGAAGGAAAGCTGAAGCATTTAGTGTAAGCAAGAGCACAAATGTGAGAGGCCTCCAAGTCAGCAAGGCATGCCAAAAAGAGGCCAACAACATGCTGAGTGAATGGCCTTTATAAAGTTCAACCCTTGCTATCCTTGAAGGTATAATGTAGATTCTATACTCGTTAGTGCCAAGTTAGATTGATCTAAATAAGACTACTTCCTTGTTTTAGACCATGTGTACCTCACTAACAGTATTTAGTAACTAGTAGTGGTTTCTAAAACCTTTTGAATATCATTCTAATAAGCTTTTCACAGGTTCCTCGATATGATAATCATTAGCACAGACAAGTTTATACAAAAGACAAGTTGCCAATCATTGACTACATTCTGTTGTAACAAATAAAGACAAATGTTAGACATGTTCTAAGGCATGCTCTTATTTCACATAAGATCCCAATCTGATTTTTAAACTGTTTTTATCTTTTAATTTAACTTGGTTGTTTTAATGGTTTTTATGTATTATGATTGTTTTATTATGTATGCAGCCCAGAGTCACTATGTGAGATGGATGGCTATACAAATGTGATTAAATAAATTAAATAAAGTTACATATGTAGTGTACAAAAATTCCATGGTAGATGATATGAAAAGTGCTAACCAAGAAAAGAAAATCTGATAGCCATTACTATAAAGAAATGCATATATACATTGCAATAATCAGAAAAGTATGTTACGTATATTATATTGATTATTAATATTTACATATATATTATATTGTATGTAGTTGAGTTTATTGTGCTAATTTTAGCTTATGGAATTAAGTTTGCTGTAATGTTATTATGCTAAGGAATAATTTGATTTTAATTGTATATATTATTTCATTTTGCATATGTAATTTATAATAGCTTAGTTAACAGTATGAAATAAATGATTAAACTACACTATAAACTATGCTAAATACAGAACCACCAGATACTTTACTTTTTTATATGTACACAAAGTCAGAAAGATATTACAGGAACAAATGAAAATCAAAGTTTTATGAAAGTATTCAAAACAATTAGACATACTGAGTTAAGTCACTTGTGGAGAAATTATTATTACCCACTTTACCACGTTCTTTAAAGCACTCTATTAACTTGCTATGCTACAAATACATGAGGTTAAAAATTCCTAGTACCCGTAACATGAAAAAAATTATAAAATTGCTTTCATAATAAGGAGCATTCCTTTGAACATGTAAATGATATCTTACTTTTGCTTTTTGATCATAAAATGTCAGGATTAGTTGGCTACTGCTAAAAATAAAATATTCTAATTACATTCAAATTCACAGTATGTTGAACAGGATTGGTTATTTTGCCATTAACATTCTATCTTTCAGGAACCCCCATCAAATATTGCTATTTCAGGTATAATCTCTATATCTTGCACTCCCAGACAAGTTCAACTTTTGGAAGAAGTGCTCCAAAAATAGCTTCAGTGGAAAAAGAGTGGTGATGTGTCAACTCCCATGATTTATAATCTCATAATATTCCAATGACAAAAGAGGGAGTTGCAATTGCATTACAAAACTATGGTAATCTTCGAAATTTACTATTTTTTACCTTTAATTTTTCTTAGAGAAAAACAATCCTCTTTTGAAGTTTGACTTTAAAAAAAAAGGGGGGGAATGGGAAACAAATGTTTGCAGAGAACATTGCTTTAATTATTATTCTAAAGTTTTAAGTATAACTTGTTTTGTGAGGTTCTTACTCTAAAAAGAACTATAGAAATTAATAAATATTTTAAGATTTAAGCTGCAATCTTAGATAAAAGCCCAATGAACTGCACAGGCATGTATAGGACTGAACTTCTGTACATGAATAAACTTCACCAGTTATAAATAAATGCTTCTTCAAAAACAAAGGCTTTTACTTTTTTAATATATCAATTACAACCAAACATTATCACACACACATTCAGATGAATTTACTTTAAGAACTATCTTTCAGGTCAGAACTTTCCTTACCTTTATTATCCTGTCCTTTCGCTCTCTGTCATGCCATAGCACAGGGTAAAATAAAAGAGACAGAACAAATATTTATCATTTGTTGAGTTCTCACAATAAAGCAAACTACCATTTATTGAAAATGCATAACATTGATACAATACTGTATTTCATAATCAAGACAGGTGAGTCCATTTAGGTATCTCAGTCACAATTTTCAACCAGTCTTTTCTCTGGCCTCAACTTTACTTTCCACAACTGTTAGGTCTTTGATAACTATAGTATGATCTCAAAAAATATTTGCATTTATTCAATCCAGTTACAAATAGTTAAGATGGCATCATGGCCTTTCAGGAGATTGGAAACAAATAACAATACCCCCCATGCCAATTATATAATGCAATAATGAATATTAAGGATTTAGTGTTTTTTTTAAAGGAGAAAGTCTTGCTATAAATAATAAGTCTTGAAATAAAAGGGTTGGGGAGTAAGAAATCCAAAGAGCGACAGACTACCGAGAAAACATCTAGCTTCTCAAAAATAAAAATTTTACCATATATACTATCGGTATACAGTATATTTTGAATTTGAAATGCCCCCCAAAATCTCCTTCACATCTGAAGCAGGCAGTGCCCATAACTCAGAAGTGCTTTGAGCACAAAACAGTATTTTTCAACACAATTTTCATTGTTTTGACCATGAAATACTTCCAAAAATCATCAAAAGGGTTTGAATGCAAAACTTTTCACAAATCCCTAATCTATACTTTAAGTTACCAGGTAAACATATGAAACGAAAGAGATTGACTTCTTGGAAGACCTAGAAAAGGGAAGAGACCCTCCAAGCCTTAAAATATTACCCAATGTGCAAGTTGTTGGATTTTAACAGGGATATGCATATAGAAATAGACATATGTATTTATCCTCTCAGCGCATAAAGAGTAAAGGAGGAGAGAAGCAAATAAAAATATCAAGAAAAAAGTCCACTTCTGAGAAATACCTCTCTCCACACAGTGAAGCAGCAGCATGTAAAGAAGCAAGAAGTGACTGAAAAATAAACTCAAGTACCACCTAAGTAGCCTTAGGGAAGTCATTATCTCTCAGACTCAGATCCCTGTAACATGCAAATAATACTATTCATCTATTTTACAGGGCTAGTAAAAGAATTATAAAAATAATACTAAGCTATTTAAATACTACAAAGCTATCATAGTAAAATCAGGTAGTTTTAAGGGCAAGGAAATAATTTTGCATTCACTTAGGAATAGTGCCTTTGGAAACCTCCAATTCTTTTAATGCTCCCAAATTCTTCCTGGGAAACAAAATTATTTAGATATTCCCATCTAAAAGCCAAAATTCTAGATACTGATCCTTAAAGCTGAAGGTGGGAGTGCCTGGACCAGGAGGACTGAAACAGCTAACACAAGAAGGAATGATTACAGAAAAATTATTAAATGTCCATGCAGGGATTGATGCTCAAATAGAAGTATGAAGAAGCCCACTGAGATCAAGTATAGAAAGAAATATAAAAGGGAGGGCCTAGCAAAGAAACAGGAAGCTGAAGTTAGCAAAAACATTCCTACAGAACTAGTGCGGAAATTGTAGCTTAGAGCTGCTCAGGATACAGAAACATAATATCCAATGGATCTGTTCTGCAGCAACTATCTAAAAATTGCTTCGGAGGGCTTGTTCCTATCTAACGCAAGCCCTAAATCAGATCTGCCATCCAAGGTGCACTGAAAGAGGTGGCTGATCACGGTTCTCTGGAATCAGAGCTCTGGAGGAGAGTCGTGCCCTCTTTTTATATTCTGACATTAAGTGGGCACTCAAGCACCAGGCAGTCCTCCAGAGTCCTCCTCTGTAGCAACCCTGAAGGCGGCTCTGCACGGGAGAGCCAGCAGCCAAAATCTAAGGTAGGGCTGGGCAATCTTTTAGTGGCCAAGGCCCGTACTTAACAAAGGCCTGAAGGAAGGGAAGGAGGGAGGGAAGGAGGGAGAGACGGGAAGCCCAAGCAGAGAAGGGCTTCTTTGCACACTGCTGGGTCCACCGCTTTCCCGACGGGTTGGACTACACCTCCCATCGTCCTCCCTTGCAAAGCCTGGCTTCGATCAAGGCTGGTGGGAGGAAGCAGAGTGCTCCCTGCATCCATGAAAAAGCGCGTTATGCCCGAGGAAGGATTGGTCGAGAGCCAGGAAGGCAGAGGGGAGGACTGAAGACGGGGGGGGAGAAGGGGGGCTGGAAAGAGGGATGCCGCCAGGCCTTCCTCCCCCATCCACTTACCTGGGGGTCAACGCTAGTGGCAGACATCTCTCATGCGCCCTGAAATAAAGGGGGGGCTTGGAGGGGGAAGGGAAGAGGAGGGGCGGGGCGAGGCCAGGCACGAGCGCGCCCGCTCCCCCCGCTCCTCCCCCAGAGAAGGGGCTACGCGCACGCGCGGGGTGCGTGGGCGGGAGGGGAGTGAGGAAGGGGAGCGGGGGTGTTAGGTCAAGGGAAGGAGGGGGAGAGGGCCGCGCGCACGCGCGCTGGCTCGTCCGTGCGCGCGCTCGTTTCTTCCCTCACATCGTTCGCCTCCCCACACATACACACACACACGGGGG